GAGTCTTGTATTTTTTGTCCTTAATTAAAAAAAAAAAAAGTTTCAAAGTAGTTGTTGTGTAGCTTTATTTTTAAAAATAAGCATATGAATGTTGGGAAAGAAAATGTTTTCTTTCCCTCTTTGTCATCAACCTATCTCTATAATAATATGTACATATTCCTTGTAGTTTCAGTGTTGGCAAAGTTTCCAGAAATATCACCAAATAAGTTTCAAATATTTTATTAACTGCCCTGACTGTGGGAAATACACATAGGTAAAAATCATCTGTTATATTTGTTTTACATTGTTATATTCCTGGCATAGTAAAAGGAGAGCCTTGAAAGTCAGCATTGTGAGGATCTTGTTCAAAAACACTCTTAATCAAAGATTTAAGGATGGCTGTATGTTCACTGGCAGACTTGTGTTTTGTGCAGCGCATGTTACTGTGAACTCATAGACCAATTCATATAAAATAGTATTAGGCTATAAAAAATTATGTAAAAGTTACATAATAGAATTCTAATCTTACAGTGATTTACAGCTGAAAGCAGCACAGAGTTAGGAAAAAAGATGAATTTCAACTCTGTGTAAGTGACTTGTTTTTCCAGCTCTGAGCTGCATCACTGGTGTTACTCATGGGTATACTGGTCACGTTTGGATCAGAAACCCCACTTGGGAGACAGAGGTGGGACTCATAGTGCAGAGGAGGACTTTCACTAATGAGATGCTGGGATACAGGGGGAAATGGATGGTCTTCAAAGAGCTTTAAAATAGCTGCTCCTCGTGGTGTACGAGGTACCTCAATGGAGGAACGAACTGAGCCTGCTACACGGTAGGGAGCTGGAGAGGATGAAGCGTGAGGCAGCTGGGAAATGGGATAAGTGAAGGCAGCCAGGGAGCGCAGAGCTCAAGCACTGCGGGAAACGGAGAGAGGAAGGAATAGACATTATAAAGAGGTGAGGCACTAACAATGTCCAGGGAACGGCAGAAAATGAGAGGCTGAAAACAACTGAGGGAGACAACTGAGACTTCAGCTGTCCATGTGGAAAATACACGTGTTGTTATTTGGAACAAGCAGAAGGAGCAAGAGGGGCCGACTCTTTGGGGTCCTTGTTCAGGCTCCTGGCTGCCCACGAGGAGCTGTGATGTGGGGGCACGAGAAGCAGCCGTCCTGTATGGGGCGTTTGTGGTCACCGTGCTGGTGAGGCTGAGCAAACGGAACAGCTTTCCTGCTGCAAGTCCTACCTCCTTGGGCTGCTGAAATACTTACTATTTTAATATGTATGTGTTCAGTAGAGAATTTCACTGAACTGCCTAGACTGGTGTCCAGATCATGCTTTTTTTTTTTCTTTTTTCTTAATATATACAGCTGAATTGAAAACCAGATATTTGCATATGTAGTTTGGATGATTTCTTCCAATATGTGTTATTTCACATATGTTAAAAGTAAATGCTACCTGTTGTGGCAATGCCTGCTTAGGTGACTGGAGTTCTTTGACCTTGCTGATAATTTTCTTTACTACTCTATAGACAATTTGTACCACACAAGTCAAATATCTTTGGAAATCCAGACATGTTTATGCCCTAGGAGGGTTCAAAGTCAGAAGCTCCTTTAACCCATCCTTATCCGAGATACTTGGAAGCAGACGAGGTGGTAGCTGTTTGTGCATCTGTTGACTACGGTACTTAATAGTCTTTGTGTAAAAATCAGATGTGTTCAGCTGACTGGGTACGTTTTTGTGAAATTAAGTTAGTAGCAATAGTGTTGTGGGGTGCTCTAGAGAAAATTGTTTACAGAAAGCTGGTAGTAGTTACTCTTAACACATTTCTGGCTAGGAAACTTGACCAATATAATAGAGCTGCTGTAAGCTCCCGTTTGTGCTCTTTTATTAGACATGGCAACTACTTGTAATTCTATTTTTTCACAGGGGCCAGTAGTTACTAACATAACACATTCCTTGGGATATATATCCCAGATACAAATTCTCTGTAGGTCCTCTTCGGGCCAGATTCACCTACCTCTTAAAAAAAAAAAAAAAATGTTCCCCAGGTTCCCTGTTATTAAATAGAATTTCTTCATCAGTTGCTGGCACCGTTTTACAACGTACAGTTGTAAGTCTTAGCATGGGACGAGCTGAAGAATGAGTCTGATAAGTAAATCGGCATGGGAACGGCAGCTGAGCCCTGCAGTTTAAATAGCCAAAGTCAAAATTGCAGTTTCATGTTCTTGTCAAGCGCAGTCCTATGGAAAATTTTATGCAAAATGTGAAATATCTTGTGGAAAGGTTTGAAGCCATTGCTCTGACAGTATTTGCCGTGTCAGCAGTTATAGCAATCGTATGGAAAATACTTCAGTTCTGGTTTTGGCAGGCAGAGAGAAACCACATAAATGTTTAAAACTGTGTCTTGTACTGTAAGAATGAAGAGTCTGCGTTACATTAACGACTGTGAGCTTTTAAAAATCTTTCCATGTGTTTCACCTCAGTTTGCTGAATTTATTGTTCTTTGTGCGCGCAGCTCTAGTCCAGAACAAATTTGCCTCTAAAATTAGGACTAGGAGTCAAGGTGCAACTGAGGAACTGGCCCAGAAGAATCAAAACTCTGTTTGAAAATTTTTATTTTTATTCTCATTTTTTTTGCCATAGGAGACTGATAGTGGGAACAATAGGAACAGTTTTCCGTCTCATTTTCATTCTGAATTATCCAGAGTTCAAATACCAGAAAATACTGGCAGGAAGAGAATTGCGAGCATTAATTATTGCAAGTGTAGTCTTGTAAGGCTTGCAAATTAACTGGTGTTTTCATATCAAGACAAGCTAAAGAGACATTGTCGGTAAAACTCTGACCTTAAATTCAGATGTCCTGGAAGCATGCTTTTACATGTCTAACAACTGGTAATGGTATTTCTGTTAATTTCCCTGCTATATCTGAGTGTTGGCTACATTTCATTCTAATTACAATTTTTTTCATGATCGCTTCAGTTACATTTCAACAATATATTAAAATTTGTGCGCGTTTGCTTTAGTCAGTCTATTTAAGGCTGGCAAGGTAGCCGAAGGAGGGGAATTAGTGAGAAAAGCAATGGGCAATCTAGCCCCTTCAATCTCCATTACTTTTTTTCCCAAAGGTTCCTAGTAAAGTGGTCTTAACTATGCTGTGTTGCTGATATCACTGTTGTGGGAGGTTCAAACGGTGTCACCAATCACCAGTTAAAATGAAATGTCTGAGTTCTGCCCATTTAAGAAAATAATTGGGAGCAAGGAGAAGTAATCTTAGTCTAATGAGTCCTGTCCCATTAACGTTTTCTGTGTTGCAGCATGTGATGTTGCTATGTAGAGTGTTTTTGTCTACCTTTCAACACAGGTGTCTGATAGTTGTGAGTATCTAGTGCTACTCTTTCCTTCCATCTCTAGCTTTATTTCTTTCATCTCTTCCTCCTTCAGTCTCTTGGTTTCCTTTTGTCTTTCTTCTTCCCTTCTCCTTCCCTCTACACTCGCAGCATTTTTGGGTTATTCTCGTTTTTGCGATAGCTCTCTCCAAGAGAGACTGACTGGCATTGGCTGATGTTTGATAGTTCAGTGTCAATTTTTAAGTGAAAATGATGAGGGACAGCTGGGCCTCTTATGGCTTGTTCCACATGACACGTGTTTTAGAGAGCCTGTTTGAAGCAGTCATTGGTTAGTGGCCTTCCAGTCAAGATGCAAACATGCAGGCAACGGACTTATTGCCTCCCTGTGAAGGGGGGAATCACGTATGACCTGTGATTGTGCAATATATATATATATTTTTTTTTTTTAAGGCTTTTTTTAAAGCTCTTGCAGGAAAGTATTCATTCACGTAAAATATTTCAACTGACTCTTTTTCTGGCATTCATTCGCCTCTGCCATTCTAATCTAATTAGACTTTCTACTTTTATTGTCTTATTGGTTGTACCTTATGTGTTAGGTGATGAATTAGAATTAAAATGCTTTACTTTCTTCATAAACTGTATTTTCCAAGGGTACTAGTTATTACTGTATGATAAAATTTGTGACCTTTTGTACTGAGCAATTCCCTTTTGTTAAATTATCTAAATGGTTAAATAAGAACGACCAATACGTGTGCACACAAAAGGATGAAATTTTGCAAGAATGACAGGGTGCTCTCAGTCTGCCCACTGGCTACTAAGTTAGTGCTGAGGTGCTGAGTACCTCACGTTTCTGAGGAGGTGATGAGACATAAAGCAAACTATTTATTATTTTTGCTGAGGAAGTGCCCATGTGGACAGGCAGTTGGCATCTGTAAAGCACTGCCTGGAGTCCGGTTGTTGGTGTAAGTGCTTGTGATGCTTGCCCTTGAGATCAGGCAGCAAACGGGTGCAGGCCTTCCGTCTTCCAGCTGGAGTAAGGCAGGGGAAGTTCATCGCTTGGATAGATCAGGCTAAAGCAGAACAGGATTTTTCTTCTCTGTAAAGGAAAGTCTCACTTTTAATCTAGTTGCATTTTCTCAGGTGTTAAAGTCATATGAAGTCTCTCTGTTTTCAAGAGGGGTCTGTCTGCCTGACTTGAGCAGTATTTAAACTGAAGAGTCACAGCACTGGCAGTCAATGCAGAGTAGTAGATAATGGTTGGTGTGTTGTCTGTGAACTATCTAAAAGTTCCTTTTTTTTTCCTTCCCTTTTCTTCCTATTCATGCATGCTCTTACAGCTTCATGAGAGACTAACAGAAAAAGCAGCTTCAAAGACCACACAAGGCAAAGCAAAGTAGTTCTATATCCAGATGGATTTCTGCAGTGTTAGCTAAGCATTGACTTTGCTAAAGAGCTCTCTGGGCTTGCCTTGTTTGCTGTAAAAACATTAAAAATTCACAACAAAGATCTGTATTGTAGAGTGGCATCCTTTCATAACAAACGTAATCTTTGTGTATAATTTTTTTCTTTAAAAAAAAAAAAAGTCCTAATCCTTTATGTCCTTCAACCATCCTGAAGATTTATGGTTAATAACTAATGTTAATTTATTGCGTGCATATTTTGTATCTTTCAGTGCATTTAATCCCAGTAAACCCCATCCGGGAAGATGGGCTGAATCCCAAGAGCCGGAAGAGAATAATGCCTGATTTGCTAACTGAACCCCCTGCAATAGATCCTGTTTATGAAGCTCACATTTACTGTAATATTCCCACCATTGCTGAACGCAGCATGGAAGGTAAACTTTGTGCGTGCAGGTGACAGTTTCATTGCTTGTTTCTACATGCTGACATTGGAGACGATTACTTTGTGCATTGTCAGTTCTTCAGTGCTTGGAGCAAGGTACAGCAATGCCAGCTGGTTGCTGAATTATATCGAATCACTTAAAATGCTTCACTCTTCTTTCCTTCCCTTTGTATCCCTGCTGGTGTCTTAATTTTTGGAAATGATCTAATGCAAAGGTACTGTTACCAGTTAAAAATGAGCGGGAAGTCCATAATGGGAAGGGGTGGGAAGTGGTATAGTGAATATTCGACTAATAACGTTTATTACAAGTGAGCTGTATTGAAAATTGTTAGTAATGTCTGAGACACAGTTAATTTCTAATTCTAAAAAAACCAGAACTGACTCATGTTAGAACTCCAGACTGTTAGACATGGTCAACTGGAAAACACTTTTGTGTTGCTTACCCTGTAGCAGCTGCAGCAGCAAGTTAGCCTGAACAAATTCCTTCATTAATGTATCCCACTAGTGCACAGAAAATAAATCAGAAACTCTTATATCGAAAAGCTCTAAACTGGGCATGCTGCAAAGTATGTCTTTGCAGTAGGGGCCTGGAAGTGACATCACAAATGTGGAGGGAGAGTTATTGTGTTAGCAGAGACCACTACTGAATAATTGCTTGTATGGTTATTGGACTTTAGATGCGCTATGGAGAAAGCGGTAGGCACCTGAACCTTGTATAAGTCCTCTTGCAAATTACAGTGAAATGTTCATTGAGACAGGAAGTTGTTATCCTTGTGTGGGGTCCCCCCCGCATTGCAACACCAACATTATCAAATCTACTAGTGCTGTAAAAAAAGCAGGTATAGTGTTCAGGGGAAAGATTTAGGTAACATTCCTTTTTTTTTTTTTTTTTTTCCTCTCCCCCCACATAGGTCATGCGCCTCATTATTTTAAACTGGTATCGGTTCAAGTGTTGATTCGACATGGCGATAGATATCCACTGTATGCCATTCCCAAGACAAAAAGACCTGACATTGACTGTACATTGGTGCCTAACAGGTAAAATTCGTGGCTTCTGTCATTGCTGGGTGCATGCATTCTTTCATATTTCTTTTGTAAGCTCTTCAGGGTGTGTGGCTTCTGATTTTTGTGTACTGTGGTGAATGAAAATAGCCTTATGATGGGAGTACAACATTTCCTTTGAAACATTACATTTTGCTACCAGTTCAGACCAGGAGAATTCTAGGTATTTCTATTTAAAAAAATTAGGACTGTATCTGCTCTATGTAAAAAGCGAAAGCTGTTTAATTGAATATTTAGGTTACCATTCCCCATAGATAAGCTTCTTCATGTTTTCAAAATGCGATACTTGTGTTCTGTGTTGTCTTTGGATTATTTCTTTTAACTTTTCAGAAATATAGGCTATCAGAGTTTTCCCTTAAATTAATGATTTATATCAAATTTATTTCAGGAAGAAAGCATGAAGGTTGTACGTTTAGTTATTAGAGTATAGGCTAAACAGTGCATACAGCTGTTTGCTATTTGAAAGCTACCCTTTTCTGTAGTTACCACTGACTTCTTGAAACTGTCACTCATCAGTTTTCGGTCTCTGACTGCCATTAAAATGTCATTTACCTTTCTATTTCAAAATATTATGCTTCTATCTAACATCATATTGTTGTTTTTGTAGTTTCCTGATGCTTGTCTTGATATCATGATCAGATTGAGCTACAGATGTGCTCTGAGTGCTTCTCCTTCTAGAAGAAACAATTCTTTCTTCTTTAGGTTTTACGCATTGATAAAGATGAAGTACAGTGTAGAGCAGTAGAAATAAACAGGGTGATGCAAGTCCCAAAACCTTTGTCCTGGCTTGCTTGATTACGCGTTCTTTTTAAGTAGAATCTGTGTGGTTTTTTTTGGTTTTCCTCCTCCCCAAAAAAGAACTTTTCCAGTGAACTTTCTGAATGTTTACTGTTAAAAGAAAAATAGTAGGGAACAAGAATGCACATGTTAGCAAAACCTTCTGGCAAATGTACAGCTTTGTACTGCTAATCCACTTGGCAGGGCAGGAGTGAAGTGTGGGGATTTCAGTGTTGAGTGATGCTTTTACTTTGTGTACATGCATGTATTACTCAGGGAAAGA